GGTGACGCTCGTCACGAAGGAAGCTGACCTCATCAGAACCAGGGACGGAGCGTGACAGTGGCGTCGGGAGTGGGGTGGCCACCACCCAGAGCTGTGAGTTGAGCAGCCAGAGGGAACTACCCCAATTCAATGGTGGAGAGGTGAAGGGGAACCCTGGGAAAGCCCAGTCCTTCCACTCCGCCTGAAGGGGCCTGCTTTAACTTCCATTCAGCTCACATAGCAGGGGGACAGGAGCTCCCCCTTGCCCTTAGCCCTGCGCTCCACTTGGCTACTCCTGTCCCTATTACTGCCCCCTCCTCGTCCACCACCTCTTCAGAGGACAATGGTGAGTTCAGACGTGTGACCCGGATGTGTTTCACTGTCTTCCTGTTTTGTCCTGTTCCTGCTGCTGAACATTGCTGATAATCAGAACCGCGCCCCACCGGTGCTCCCCCAGGTGCTCCACATGTTCTGTGCCAACCTGGCTCAACAGCTGTATTAACCCTGTGCTCTATACTGTCATGAACCGCCAGTTTGGACAGTCCTACCGGGCCCTACTGGCCAGGGCCACCACACCCCTCACACACCACTGGAAACATTGACCTTTACATTTTGGTAGTTTAGGAGGCACTCTTATTCAGAGGGACTAATGTGGCATTCAAGACAACTTAGAACTCTGGAAGAAAACAAGGTCAAATCATGAAGACAGTGATCTTCAGGAGCTCTAGAAAGAGGCCAGAGTTCCTTTCAAAAATATTTTTCCCAGTCTGAGTTCCCAGTTGTCTTGAACTCACTGAAGTCGGAAGTCAGAGATTTCTGAGTTCCATGTTCCCAGTTATTTTGAACGTGGCATTATAGTGCATTCAACTAAGGTGGGTAAGACAACCATCAAGTAACTATCACAGCACTTCAAACAGGGAAAACACTCTTCTCCCCCCATTGGTCTTGATGGAGCTACTTCCTCCTTTATAAATTCCTCTCCTCCTTCCTGAATGTCACATTTACAGTCAGCTTGCAAGGGCAAAATCAGCCATTCTGTGATTTCTTTTGGAAAGGGCTCAACGATTTTAGGCTAAGATTATGCTCACAAGGCTTTTTTTTTTCAATTACAAACACCAACGTACACTTACTGTAAGGCCTTAGTCCTAATACATTAAATGGCTTTCAAAGCTTAAAGTTCACCTCTATCATGTAGTCATACAATATGATCAAAATGCATCAGGACATCTATTTATTTCAGCAGGAAGCCAGAAGCCACCAACAGGGAGATCTCACTGTATCAAGACCTGGAGGGTGTTAGTTATGCAAAGAACTACAGCCTCCTCTACATCTTGTGTTTATTTGTGTCATTGTATTTTTGTCTGTTTATTTATAATAAAACCTTTGTATTAATACATATGTCTTTTCATTACTTCTAGTACCTTTCACTGGACACATAGGAAATTCCCCTTTTACACATGGGAAAATTCTGCCCACCCTAAATCAGAACTATTGAAATGTCCCTTTTTTAAAGTTCCAAAATGCATGTCCTAAAGGGATGTTGCAAGTCAATGTTCTCAATGATATGATTAAATAGGCCTCCACCTCCTGGTAGTTCAGAATATTTATTTTATCATAGCACACCACGCAGTCATATTGGTATAGATGTGGCAGGGTGTCATATCCTATGAGTATTACTGAATTACAATGTTTGTGAGATTCTCTAATACAGAGCAACATACTGTATAAAAACTCAGTTTAATTGGTTTCTCCTTCGACAGCTTGTCTCATCCTAGCCTACTGTTATGGTTACTATCGCAATAGACATTTGTCACTGTGCCAACTGAAAAGACTGCTACCAAACTCAAGGAGATTAGTGTGTAAAATATTGTCGCACTGCAGGGTTGAAGTAGGACATTTATTTTATTGCCAGGTTGGGTCACATCTCAATATCAGTTTATTTGAACCCATTTATCATCACAGATCTGTCATTATCTACAGACTGCTGTGTAAAATAAGAAACACAAATAATAGATTCCATTCCCAATACATGGTAACCCACATCTTCCCTTGCTGTATTGAGGAGTTGTGAATCCTGGACCAACAGAGTAAAGTTTGCAACGTCCCTGCTGCTGCTTGTACAAAATAACAACAGGCTTTCTGTGGTTATTTCACTTCAAGATAATTCCCTGACCTGTGAATAGTGGTATATACCAAGTCACTCCTTAATGATCGCATTCTGAAGCCCATGCTGTGCCATACAACACCCACAGCGATAGATAGGAATAAGTCACTCATAAATCAGGTAAGTGGTCACCAGAAATGCTACACTCTAAAAACTATCAAAAACCATGAAAATTATGATTGTGGTACAGTCTGAAATGGCCTTAAATGAAACAGCCTGGATCCAAGAGTTGGATCTCACTCACTCATCTTCTCCAGCTCTTTGGAGTAGCATCTCAAAATATGTCCCTCCATACCACCCTGGGGCTTGGATGCTGGTTGATAATGTCTCTCAGTCATGCATAATAGAATTCTTAACCCTGTCGGACACAAGTAATGTACCACAAAACCACATAATATAAAGTAAAGTTCTCACAAGTGGTATTTCCCTCATATCAATGCTTCTGGGTTTTCCTACATAGTAAACAGACATGCAATGTCTCACTTACAGTTTTCAGTTGTTTATGCTCAACCAGTCCTTTTATCCAGTGACAAATATGGTATTTGGACAATAAAACATTGAGATTATCTCTGCATTGTAGTTAAAGGACAAACAGAGAAGACAGGAAGAAGTGCAAAAGTTTCAACACCTTTTCAAACACTAAATGAGCTTTTTTGTTTAAAGCTACAGTTGTGTGAAAGCATTGCAAATATTATAAAAATCGGATTCACATTTTTTCTTGTCAGAAAACAGTCATGTCCCATCAGTGCAAAAAGTCTTAGAATATCTACATTTCGTAACTAGTGTAATTATATATATATATATATATATATATATATATATATATATATATATATATATATATATATATACACACACATACACAGTACCAGTCAAAAGTTTGGACACACCTACTCATTCCTGGGTTTTTCTTTATTTGTACTATTTTCTAAATTGTAGAATAATAGTTAAGAAATCAAAACTATGAAATAACACATGGAATCATGTAGTAACTAAAAAGTGTTACTGTCATCAAGGCAAAGGGTGGCCACCATCACACCTCCATTCTTCACGGTGGGAACCACACATGAGGAGATCCGTTCACCTACTTTGCGTCTCACAAAGACACGGCAGTTGGAACCAAAAAGCTCAAATTTGGACTCATCAGACCAAAGGACAGATTTCCACCGGTCTAATGTACATTGCTCGTGTCTCTTCTTATTGGTGTCCTTTAGTAGTGGGTTCTTTGTAGCAATTCAACCATGAAGGCCTGATTCACTGGTCTCCTCTGAACGGTTGATGTTGAGATGTCTGTTACTTGAACTCTGTGAAGCATTTATTTGGGCAGCAATTTCGGAGGCTGGTAACTAACTCTAATGAACTAATCCTCTGCAGCAGAGGTAACTCTGGGTCTTCCTTTCCTGTGGCGGTACTCATGAGAGCCAGTTTTATCATATCGCTTGATGGTTTTTGCAACTGCACTTGAAGAAACGTTTAAAGTTCTTGAAATGTTCCGTATAGACTGATCTTCATGTCTTAAAGTAATGATGGACTGTCGTTTCTCTTTGCTTATTTGAGCTGTTCTTGCCATAATATGGACTTGGTCTTTTACCAAATAGGGCTATCTTCTGTATACCACTCCTACCTTGTCACAATGCAACTGATTGGCTCAAACACATTAAGTGATATAGAAATTAAAATATATATGCAGGTTAAAAGTAATGACTAAATGTTCCACCCTTAAATAGAGTTGTGAAATGTTCTTGTTTTAAGTACGATTAGTACTTTCTTGGTAGTGACTAATTATTACACTCCGAAACTGTGTGAGATGTGTTAGAATCTACTACCTGGTAATGTGTGAGCGTAGGGCAAGTTGAGATTACATTGTGTTGCTGTTTGGCAATGTGAGTGGGAGTTGGGCCAGACGGCGAAGAAGAAGGAGAACTGTTAGGCTTGGAAGAGAGTATGAAATGTTGCAGGATATTGTGAGAACGGCGATAACTGAGGAATGTAGCCTGCCCGAGCAGGGAGTAGACTATGATAAGAACATGTGTGTATGTGTATGACCTGATGGTCAGGAGAGCAGAGGAAAACATGAGCTAAACCCATGTACAGTGGAAATATACAGCCCGCCTAAAGCGGGGTGGGATTTTTGTATGACGTGTGTGTATAAAAGATGACTCTGAAATTGTTATAGGAGAATTCTCGAATGAAGTCCTGGCTATTGCACTGAGGCTCTGTCTGTTTCTTGATCCAAAAGCCTTACAACCTTTTGGGAGACGCACAGAGACACTGAAATAGTTAGTTAATACATTCTCTTAACATTAAGAATTTAAGAAATTCCACAAATTAACTTTTAAGAAGGCACACCTGTTAGTTGAAATGCATTCCAGGTGACTACCTCGATCCCCGGGACCCCCCATACACAAAAAAGTATGCACGCACGAATGTAAGTCGCTTTGGATAAAAGCGTCTGCTAAATGGCATATTATATGAAACTCGTTGAGAGAATTCCATGAGTGTGCAAAGCTGTCATCAAGGCAAAGGGTGGCTACTTTGAAGAATCTCAAATTTAAAACATATTTTGATTTGTTGAACACTTTTTTGGTAACTACATGATTCCATGTGTTATTTCATAGTTTAGATTTATTCACCATTACTCTACAATGTAGAAAATAGTAAAAAGAAAAGAAAAACCCTTGAATGAGTAGGTGTGTCCAGACTTTTGACTGGTACTATATCTATCATCTATATATATATATATATATATATATATATATATATATATATATATATATATATATATATATATATATATATATATATATATATATATATATATATATATATATATATATATATATATATATATATATAATTTATTTTTTCCCACAGAAAGCTGTTATTATGCTGTACCTGATGGGCACAACATATGGACCACGTAGCATTTCTATTGTTACAGATGCAGGGTAAGAGTAGTAGCCTAGATGTGTAGACTATAGAAAGCACTATGTAACTAGGTTATGTCTAATGAGCATGCTCAGAGCTGATGAAGGTCGTACTACTAAAGTAGTGTATGGGTAACAGAGTTTGGTTAAATATGGATGGAGGTTGTCTTTGAGTTGTTATGGGTAAGTGCTTCCACAGTAGTAACTAATCTGGTTTGGTTAGATGTCGTGTATTGTGGTGAATGCTGCGAGAGTGGTCATTCACATGGCTGCAGAGGGGCGGTGAAGGGGTGTCCGGGTAGAGCCACCTCGGGATCTGTGTCGTCATTATCCCAGTCAAAACTATTCTCATACACGTTGGGGTCATTGAGGAACTCCTGGAAGGTCGGAATCAGGTCCTCCTCTGACATTACCATGGCACCAGAGAGCATTGGGTCAGGGTCAGGACTCAGGAGCAGCTCTGGGGGAAGAGGGTCCCCACTTAGGCCTGAGGGAGGGAAGGAGGAGGGTTCTGTTGTAAGAAGTAATTTACAATCAGTTATTTATTCTAGTTACAAACTAAAGGTTTCATTTGGAAAACAGCATTCTGCAACTCACTGAGGAAGCAGACATGCATTAGGTTAAAAACACAGAATGGGATCCCATTATTAGTGATAAAAAACAGCCAGTTGTGGTTAGTCAAAGCATACAGTCCACGGACATGAAGATGCATCTTTGGAGCATATGGTGCAGTATGGCAGTCCCTCCAGGATTTCACAGGTTTTTTGTGGTATTTGCGAGAAGAAATGCTTGATTTTGCTGTGCCAATTCTGACATTTTGCATGGCAATAATTGTCCTTCTTTCTTGAAAATACATAAAATAAAGACGTGGCTTGATTGAAACATATGAGGTAAATGTGCGCTGATTGGTTCTAATTGCAAGCCCTCTTTGTGCTGCGGTGATGGTAAGTTTTATGCAATGATGATTTGACTGTTTATTCTGAAATAGTGCAGTGATTGGTCAAATTTGCAAGCCCTCGCATAATATGCAGGGAATTGTTGATTTTGCTAAAGAAATTGTGATTGCAGAATCACAGAATGCTGGAGGGACTGGTATGGCAAACAGAGGAAGAGAAGGGATGTAAATGGGAGTCTGTGTAAATCACCTACCCCGCTTACTAGCTAACATTCTCTACAGCGAATGACACATGCAGGCAGATGCAGAACAATGAGACTAAGAGGGGGGTAAAGGAAAACAGTCAACCAAAATCAAAAGATACCCAGCTGATTGAGGGGCCCTCCCTTCCATGGTTTAGCTGTCAGTAGGGAGACTTAAGGACCCCTACTTTGAAATGATCAGCTAAAGACAGAAACTTAAGGAGGGCAGATAATCAAAGCTCACAAGCATGCGATTGTGCTTAGGAGCACATTGCTGACTTCTGATGAGAAAAGGGTCAGACGGCACTTAAAGGGATTTGGTTGATTGGTGGTTTGACTGGGAGGCGTGGCGACTCACCGAAGGCCTCTCCACACAGACCATATCTTGGGTTCATTGGCCCTGAGCCTTCGCCTTCCACAATGTCAGAATACACAGGCGACTTAGCCTCCAGTGTGTTCCTACGGTAACCAATGATAAATAGCCATTACACAACCAGTTCCTGAGGTAACCAATGAGAGACTGGGATTACACTACCATTTTGATGGAGCCAGAGTATTTTCATTTTAAGAGCTTTCATTTACAAAATGGCCTCTGTTCAGAAAGCACAGAGAGCGGGGGGTAAGGGAGGCTCATGTATGGATTTTCAGGTGACTTACATTCCACATGCTCGGGCTGGATAAATGAAATGTTAAAAAGACAAATTCAAAAATACTCACTCTTTAGATACAAAAACCAACTTAGTTTTGATGTACTTAATGTATGGATTATCCGCTGAAAAGACAAAAGGTAAATTCTTTAGATTAATAGCAATCACCTCTCAATTTGCAAAAAGGATGTCAAATTCTTTGTAAACAAACTATAAAATGCATCAAGAATCCAAACTTTCATTGCACAAGTACAAGATCCCTCTGGTATCTTCACCTCCACTCTTCTCTGTGTAGTACTTCCCGAAGGCCTCCACTTTGGGCGTGTCAGGGTAGAGGAAGAGGAGGGGGTTTTCCGGGACATTCTCCGCCTCCAGGATCTGGAAGTTTCTGATGATCTCATGGAAGGGGATCTGGGAAAGGTCCACTTTGGTGAAGGGCTGCACCGAGCGCACGTCAGGCTCACCTGGAGAGGGCAGTGGAGGATGAGAAGGAGAATAGATTAAATGAGGTAGTAGAAATTGTGTGTGGAAAAGGGGCAGGGAGGGCAATATAGGGGGACAGGGAGGAGGAGGAGAAATTCTCCATCATTGGAAGCATTAACCTCTACGGGATCGGTGTCCCGTATACAGGATGGTTGAGCTAACGTGCGCTAATGTGATTAGCATGACTGTTGTAAGGAACAGCAAACTTTCCAAGATGTCTTATATGGGCAGAAAGCTTAAATTCTTGTTAATCTAACTGCACTTTCCAATTTACAGTAGCTATTACAGTGAAAAAATACCATGCCATTGCTTGAGGAGAGTGCACAACAACAACAAAAACGTATCACGGCAACTGGTTTGATACATTCACCTCTGAAGGTAAATAATGCACTTACATTCAGTAATCTTGCTCGGATTTGTCATCCTAAGGGTCCCAGAGATAAAATGTAGCATAGTTTTGTTTGATAAAATCAATTTTTATATTCAAATGTAGGAACTGGGTTCTACAGTTTCAACCCCTGCCGTCTCTGGCTCCACACCCACCCCACCCGGCCATCTAGATGTGTGAAAGTTAGTGTATAAGCTAATGATCCATCATGTATGACATTCCTGGGAGTGTGTAAACTTACAAAAATGATATGGTAATACAAAATGTATGTTCTCTATAGATCCTGCAGGTTCATGCTCTACAACATTCACAGAGTACGACCCTACCTTACACAGAAAGCGGCACAGGTCCTAATCCAGGCACTTGTCATCTCCCGTCTGGATTACTGCAACTAGCTGTTGGCTGGGCTCCCTGCCAGTGCCATTAAACAACTTATCCAGAACGCTGCAGCCCGTCTGGTGTTCAACCTTCCCAAGTTCTCTCATGTCACCCCGCTCCTCCGCACACTCCACTGGCTTCCAGTTGAAGCTCGCATCTGTTACAAAACCATGGTGCTTGCCTACGGAGCTGTGAGGGGAATGGCACCTCCTTACCTTCAGGCTCTGATCAGACCCTACACCCAAACGAGGGCACTACGTTCATCCACCTCTGGCCTATTAGCCCCCCTACCTCTATGGAAGCACAGTTCCCGCTCAGCCCAGTCAAAACTATTTGCTGCTCTGGCACCCCAAATGGTGGAACAAGCTCCTCCACGACAGCAGAGTAACTGACCACCTTCCGGAGACACTTGAAACCCTACCTCTTTAAGGAATACCTGGAATAGTATAAAAGTAATCCTTCTACCCTCCCCCCCCCCCCCATTAACAAAAAAAAGAAAAGTGGTTGTCCCACTAGCTATCATAAGTTGAATGCACCAATTTATAAGTCACTCTTGATGAGAGCGTCTGCTAAATGACGTAAATGTAATGAAAATGTTTCAATTGACCAATTCGGCACATTTAGGCAGACTTGATACAAAATAGTCCAGTATTGCAACGCTTCACTGGATCAATCTGAAACTTTGCACACACTGCTGCCATCTAGTGGTCAAAATCTCAATTCTGCCTAAACTGCTATATTATATTGTGGCCTTTCTCTTGCATTTCAAAGATCATGAAAAAACAAAACAACATGTTTTTTTTGTTTGTATTATCTTTCACCAGATCTAATGTGTTATATTCTCCTACATTCATTTCACATGGCCACAAACTTCAAAGTGTTTCTTCTCAAATGGTATCAAGAATATGCATATCCTTGCTTCAGGTCCTGAGCTACAGGCAGTTAGATTTGGGTATGTCATTTTAGGTGAAAATTGAAAAAAAGGGTCCGATCCTTAAGAGGTTAACATCAATCAATTAAATTGGATGCTAAAATATAAAAGGCGTCCCTGTGTGTAGTACAAGACAACCTAAAAGTGACGTATAAATCTTGCAAAAATCATTTCCCAGCTTGTTGTTAGGTCTCTGTCCCATTCCATATGATCCTGTCATCTCACCGGTCAGGGAGTAGTCCACCCAGGAGAAGGTGATGCCTCCATCTCTGATGCTCTCACTGAAGCGCAGGAGGAAAGTACCCCTCTGTTTCTTCTTCAGGAGGGTTTTCTCTTTGCCTTTACTCACAAAACCCATGATAGAACTGCAGAGTAGAAAAGCATACAGAGAAAACAAACCAGACCTTTAATAAGTCGTTATTCATCAAAGGACATCCATAAACAATTTCTCAAATAATGATTTTGTGAAATAACAGGCCAGCCTATCTCAGAGCCTCAAACTATATTGTGCTTTTTTCTCCTCAGACATACCCATCTTTCCACAGGTTCTCTAAGTGAGTCTTCACCATTACAAGGATACCATCGAACCACACCCATAAAGTGAAGTTGGTGTTAGGAACATTTTCCTGCAACACAGGGGTGATGGAGGTTGGCACGGCTTAGACTGACATTAGCATTTCCATTGTCAGCATCATGCAGAGAGCTAACAAGTGACAAGATTATCACCTTGCTGAACTTAGTCCACGAGATTTTGTAGGCGTCGTAACTTTGCTGCTTTCCTGATGGGACAGAAAACAATCATTTGTCAAACCTACTTCACTGACATCTCTAGACCTGAAAGTCATGTAGCACTGGAAACATACCAGACAATGAGCACTATACCTAGGATTGAGATGGGTAGTAGACATACCAAAGAGTTTGTGTGCGATCATGTCCAGCTGGTTAGAGTCCAGACCCCGCGTGGTGGAGGAGAGGAACTGCCAGCTCAACATCTCCCCTAGTTGGGGCCACGTAGCCACGGGACAGTTGGCAAAGAAAAGAAAGTTCTGCAGAAACACACCCTTATTAACACACAAATATCAATTATTATACTTTTTTGTTTTTTTGTTGGCTAAGTAGTTGTTATTATAAGACATCTAATAAAAAGCTGGGGGGCCTGTGTTGATGACCTCTCACCTTTGGCTCGAGGCAAAGCATGTTGAACCAGAGGACGGATGCCCAGGCACTCTGCTGCTGGCTGGAGTTGGAGATGATGACCACAGGGAGAGAGGACGTCTGGGGTGGGGTGAAGTGGACAAAGGAACATGCATTAGTAAGACAGACTACTGTAGCATGGACCTTATTACATTTATTCTGTATTTTAGCAGACATTCATCCAGGGAAACCAATACAAGTTAGACCAGACTGCCCTTACTATGTCACAACATGTTTGGCTGATAGCCAATGAGGGAGCAGGGAATGACAGGAAGACCCACCTCTAAGGAGACTGACATGTCGTGCAGAAGAAACTCTGTGTTAAAGTTGATGATGTGCAGCTCCTCTGTGACGCTGAGAGAGAGCTGTGGGCACAGAGGTTCACCACCACACATCCAGGATCAAACACACCTGCTGCTCTTATTCTACAGTATGGCTGAAGTAGAGTTGTTCCTAATGTTTTGAGTATTCAAAGTGGATATGTTGAAGCATGATGTAAACTCACTTCATGGATCCCCTTGCCCCCTCCTCCAGATTTCTGCTCCTTCAGTATCTGCAAATAACAATAAAAAATCAGTTTTGGTTAGTCCATCTCTGCTATAAGCAATTGTGATGACAAAATTGCATAATACATCAGCTAATTGATATCATAATTGGTCCATCAAAACATTTTCAACTGAGACTCCGCTATATGATGTTGCCACGAGCAACAGCGCAGATGTTACAGATGAAAGTGATGCACTGACAGAGTATCTGCGCATGTGAACTTCAATAGCTACAAAGTGATAGCTGCAGGACCGGAAACACTGGAGAAGTATAGCCTCGCGCTTCAATGCGCTTAGTTGTTGCGGAAATTGCCCCAATATTGATGTTTACCTTGTGCATAGCTGACTCTACCTTTAAGCAAGTCAACTGCATACATTTTAATGGTTAACTTCCACATAGCGCTGTGTAACTGACTACCAATCCATATCTCTCCTCCACCAAAAGCCTGTCTGTCCTATTGACTCACCAGATGTCTGAAGTCTGCCACCATGCCTCCACTCATACTCTCAGCCATGTTCAGGGCCTTACTGTTGGTCCCCAGGACATTGAACCGCCGGTACCTACAGGCCAAGAGAACATGAAGTGACCGAGTGAAGGTATAAAAGTGGTTTACATGAATTTTTGAGACACATTTGATTTTCTACATTCGTTGTTATGGTTTTATATTTGAAATTTGGCACAAATCTAGTCCCGAATGTCACATCTTACCATTTGACCTGAGGAGCCTCCCTAGAGCAGAGAGAAAGGGAGAAGGAGAGGAACATGCACGTCAGTATAATGGCCAATAGGGGTCACTTAATTCACTCATATCATTTTCTGCAAATGTTCTAAAGTCATCTAGCTCATAAGCAAAGCAATGATCAATAAATCTAGTGATTATCTATCTGTCTGGACTAAAGCAATGAGAGCACTACATAAGACATGCATCTAATATGTAAAGAACAGCCGATTTGATTTTCCAAAGGTTCCATCTCACCTGTCCATGGACACGTTCACTTTCATGGCATGGTTCAGCTCAGGAAATTTGACGAGGAATCTAGAAGAAACACACATGGAATTGTATAAATGGATATCACATTCAATTCAGTGGTGGGCTGGTTATTTAACAGCTGTCATAAGTAGGACAGGGTCTGAAGTACTCACCTGGTCTTGACTGAGAACTGGACATTGGTACGCAGAACCAAGGGCCCTTTCCCTTGGGGCATAGAGGGCTGAGTCTCCACCACAAAGGCACTGAAAACACAAAATACCTTCTTGAATAACAGTAAGAAAAAGGGAGCTGAACAATCCTTTGTGTGCTTGTGTATTATTATGTGTACTGTTTGAGGATTTACTATGTTAGTGTGTAAACTATGAGCGAGTTTATCAGAATTGTTTATGAGCCAGTGTGATTGTGTATTCTAAATGATTTAAGACCTTTTGAGCAGGCTGGTGAGGAGGCTGTCCACCCTCTTCTGCAGTGCTGGTTTCTGCTTCTTCACAGGGTCGTGCTCGTAGGTCACCTTCCCCATCAGCTCCTCCAGCTTCTTAAGGAACTTACGCACCTGGAACAGACACTCCGCCTCCGTTGTAAACCTAGAGAGGTCAGACAGGGGGCAAATAGAGGTCATACAGGAGGTCACACAGAGGGGTCAGAGGTCAAACACACCAGAATGAACATGGTCTACCACCGCAGGCTCTTTCTAAGAAAAGCTTATTTTACTTGAGGGAGTATTCGTAGTCCCTCCTTAAGTAAGCCAGGGCAGATGTACTGAACGCTCAGAGTTACAGCAGACAGTAGTTAGAGATTGTTTAGGTCAGGTAGATCTACGGAGGTGAATAGCTAGGTTGGCTGTACTGTACCACTTCTCCAGCTGGTCCAGGCAGGTGTTGTCTGGGGCTCCGATGCAGGCCTTCTGCTGCCTCCTTTGCCACTGCACTAGCTCTTCCCTCACAAGCACACACAGCAGCTCCTCCGCACTGTCCAGTAGCACACCCATACCGGACAACATGCTCTACAGGGGAGAGGGGGAGGACGAAGGGAGGGAGGGAGAGAAGAGAGAGGGGGGAGAGCCAGGGGAAATAGATGTTATATGAATAATACAGTACATAATGAACCAAATGTATTAAGGTGATGTAAACTAGAGGGTTGTGGGTGGTACCTTCCTGGAGGCGTCCAGTCTGTTCAGTAGAGCCTGCAGCACCTTCATCTGTTCCATCTTCGCCGCCTCGTTGGTGATGCCTACGCACAAGAACCTGAGTCATCTTCAAGTGAACACATCAACTACAATAGAATGAGGTTACAGGTGTCACCTGATAGAATGAGTCACTTCATGACTTGTATCCATGACAGAAGGAAATTGACTGTTCATAGCAGTGTGGGCTTTAGGGAAATATGTACAGTATCATATCCCTCACAGTCTCTATCCTCTGCTGAATCGATTATCACAAATACAAAGGATAGACCTCAAATGAGCTCACCTTCCATGTTATGAGTCTGGTATTTAAAATCAAACTCATCTTGTTGTTCCTCCAAACATTTCACAGTGTGTTCCATGCACTGCATTAAAAAAAGAAAAATGACAAACTGTCAAAGGCGGTCTGTATGTTATCATAATGAAAAGTTTAGCAGCAACATTAGAGGAGACCCCCCCATAGGATGCTCATATCATGGCAGGCATTGCAACCTTTACAGACTTTCACGGAGAAGCTCACCTGAACTTTATTCTTAAGGTCTGCCATCTTGCGCTCAATGTTCTGCTGGCTGTCTGTCTCCATGGGGTTCTGCTGGACCTGCAGCAGCTGGACCTGAGGAAGAGGATGAAGAAACACAGTAATGATAATGATGACTCTAAAGTCTTTCAAATGAGATGTTGTACCTCCTCCTAAAGGACAGTGTTACAGATAGAGGTATCCTGTATGTGTTTGTGTTTTTCCTCTCCTTCTGCCCTAATCACAGGTGTCCTTTGTGTTCCTGATTGGTGGTCGTTGGGGTGTCCCACCTGTCCGACATCCATTTGTCTGCTGAGGTGGACCAATCAGTGGACATTCCTCTGCATTGCACCACCTGTTTTTCTGGTTTTTCACTCACACCTCCCATTGTTTTAAAAGGCAGTCAGTTGTGTTTGTTGAGAGAAGACTATTTTCGTATGCGAGTATGGATACTGTGGTGTCCTGTTTTTTGTGTACTCACTCATTTGCTGGTTACTCTGTATGGTAACTATGTTGTGTGTTTCTGGGAAAGGGGGATTTAGCAAGTTGCCCTTGGGCATACATTACCCGTAGAAAGAACATTGTCTAAAAACATTAGTTAGACCTGAGCGGACCACCCACTGTAATTTTTGTATGGTTAGCAGTAGCTTAGTGGTTCTAGAGGCAGGCAAGATCAGTTTAGGTTTTTTTTACATTATTGTTTCATTCCTTGGGTCCTGCTCAGCCCTTTTTCCCAAACCTTTACCGTGTGTTCACAATAAACATTTTGTGTTTGACAGTAGCTTGGTGGTCAGTGTATTTTTTGTTCTCACTGTTTCCGTGTCACGATTCTAATTTCCATGAATTATGTTACGGGTCTCATTTCCATCCACCCTAGACTTTTAAAGCCACAGGGTTCGTAACAGACAGAGAGTAGGTATACAGGATAACCCAATCCCTCACCCTATGCCTAAATGACCTGTTTTATAATATACCTACTGTATAGGTTCTTAAAAAGGGACTGTGTTTGTCTAACCTGCTCAGCCAGCTCAGCGTTCTGCAGGATCTCCTTCTCTTTCCCAAGGAACCACTGGATGATACTGGCCAGAGTGTAAGGCTCCTCTTGGTACCTCTGGAGGAATAGAGGGTGTGAAGAGGGCGTTAAAGAGTAGTTTTACTAGAGTAGTAGTACTTCATCAAGATCTTGAAGGGCTGCAAACTCCGTAGCTCTAAGATCCAGTTGACCACTGTTCCAGAAGGTCCTTTCTACACTGAACAAAAATATAAACGCAACATGTAAAGTGCTGGTCCCATGTTTTATGAGCTGAAATCAAATATCCTAGAAATGTTCCATACGCACAAAAATCGTATTTCTCGCAAATGTTGTACACAAATTAGTTTTCATCCCTGTTAATGAGTATTCTCCTTTGCCAAGATAATCCATCCACCTGACAGGTGTGGCATATCAAGAAGCTGATAAAACAGCATGATCTTTACACAGGCGCACCTTGTGCTGGGGACAATAAATGGTATGGGCAGGCATAAGCTACGGACAACGAACACAATTACATTTTATCGATGGCAATTTGAATGCACAGAGATACCGTGACGAGAACCTGAGGCCCATTGTCATGCCATTCATCCGCTGCCATCACCTCATGTTTCAGCATGATAATGCACAGCCCCATGTCGCAAGGATCTGTACACAATTCCTGGAAGCTGAAAATGTCCCAGTTCGTCCATGGTCTGCATACTCACCGGACATGTCACCCATTGAGCATGTTTGGGATGCTCTGGATCGACAGCATGTTCCAGTTCCCGCCAATATCCAGCAACTTCTCACAGCCATTGAAGAGGAGTGGGCCAACATTCCACAATCAACAGCCTGATCAACTCTATGCAAAGGAGATGTGTAACACTGACTGGTTGTGATCCACGCCCCTACCTTTTTTTTTTATTAAGGTATCTGTGACCAACAGATGCATATCTGTATTCCCAGTCATGTTAAATCCATAGATTACGGCCTAATGAATTTTTCAATTGTCTGATTTCCTTATATGAACTAACTCACTAAAATCTTTTAAATTGTTGCGTTTATATTTATGTTCAGTATATTTATCAGAGTCACCCCATAGAGGGCCACACCTGGAAGCTGTGTTTGAAACGGCGTATGTTATGCTGCTGCAGGAAGGACTCTCCCCCCTGGACGAAGCGGCTGTGCTGGATATCCAGGTTCTCCAATAACACCTGGAACAGCACCATGGCAACATCATGGTCCCGCGCTGCACGCTCCCTAAGGGAGGAAACACAGGGAAACTGGCTTAGGAATTCCATAATAGAGCTTCGTTTACCCCTTTTCCCTGACATTCTTTGGCTCTGTTCTACCTGGACAAACCTGAATCAGTGCATAGTCACCTAGACCCTTTCAGGTTTTTTACTGGCTGAAACAATAAATAGTGCAGGATGAGTGGGCTGCCTCACCAGTCTTGGCCCTCTATCCAGTGTGCCAGGTAGTGGCGTACATCCATGGGGAAGGCATCCCCATCATATAACTGATCCACCTGTTTCAGGTACACAGAATCCAGCTGCCTCAGCTTCTCCCACTGGGCCATGCTTGGCTGGGGACAACACCACACACACAGGTATACATATAATCAGTAATAACAGCCATACAGACAGAGTACACAATATGAGGTGAGGTTTGTTTCCTAAGCTTGCACATGTAGGGACATTCTCTTCTCTGCTGCCAGTGGTCTGACCACAAGACTACATGTAACAGGTATATGACTGAAACTCACTAATGGCCTGAGAGAAAGTACCCTTTCAATACTTAAATTAATATTTTCCTACACCCCAAGTATAGGCTATGCCTCAAGAATCCGTTTCTGCGGTTGGAAAGTCTGTGTCAAGAAAGTAAAAAGCCACCCACATGACATTCTGGAAATTGTAAACAAAACTATAATTGTAAAAACGGCTAGCTGGAGCGCGTCAGAGTGGTCGGCTGTGAATGCTCTCACCCGGTAGTACTTAATGCTGATTGTTAAGGTTCTGACTTACTACAGGCAAGAACAAGGCAGATGTGTCCATAATATCCATAGTTTCACTATCTCTTGGTCACCACCACACAGTTGCACACACATCACAAAGTTACATTGTGTGGAAGCAGATGTGTCCGCGTGTGTGGTGGTGACTATCAAGAGTAACGTTACAGTGATGGGCCTCAACATCATGTTCTAGCCGGACAGCACTATAGTGGGCAGAACCAAAAACAATCAGCATTAAGTACACTAGTTAACGTTATATATCAAGTTCTGACAGTGGGCAGGTTTTAGTTAATCAGCTTAGCTAAATTACTAACGTTAGCGGGTGAGGGCATATCCAGTCAACCGCTCAGACGAACTCCAGCTAGCCGTTTTATACATATATTTATATAGACAAACGTTGTAACCCAACTAGCTAGCTAAGAGTTACCATTCCGACGGATTTATGCTCTTCAATTTATATCAATAATGCGAGCTCAGCGGTGTAGATCACATACAGAAGAAGGCTACATTTAGTTAGCCAGTTGGCACTCACCTGTACCGCAGTAAATGTTTCTGAATCTTGGTTAAGTGCTATTCAATTTGTTGTAGGATTGACAGCTCGCACGTTTCTAACAGAAAATATTTTTTTGTGTAGCTCATAAAACCATAAACAGAACCAAACTCCACTTCCTATTCATGCGAGCAACAATTCTGTTCACCTCCCCCCGATTTCATTAAAATATCACGCACTTTGTTAGCTAAATGTCCCCTCCCAATTTGTCTTTGACAAACGCACCACCGCACCATTTTGTTTCTTATTGCTGTTTTATTTGGATCCAACGAGCCGAAATGGCTGAAATACGGAAGTCCAGTTTCCGCCTTAAAACATTTCCAGAAGCTGATTGGTCCCATCGAGGTACGATTGGTCCGTCCCGACGACACTGTTTAGGATTCATGATTGGTCAAAAGAACACGCCAATATATGATAACCGAATCAGGGTGGGACAAGCTCAGTTTATAACCGAATCAGGGTGGGACAAGCTCAATTTAGCAGAGGGAGTAAATCACGAGGTAAGAGCGAGATAGAAACCTAGGACTATCTAAAAAGACTTCCAAGAAATGACGTTTCGAAAGTGAGTTATGAAAACAGAAAGTCCACCCTCATTACCTGCGGCGCTTGAATTAAAATACCTCTATGTCTGTATTCATTTGACTTAAATTAATTGCCATCAGACTGTACTGTATTTTTTTATATACTGTGAAATATTAACTATGATAACTGGAAATCAGCATGAATTAATTCATTCACAGGTTAGAAGCATTTACATACTGTGAAATATTAACTATGATAACTGGAAATCAGAATGAATTAATTCATTCACAGGTTAGAAGCATTTACAAATAGTAATAGACAAAGGTCACAACAAACACAACCAAGTTTTCACAATGTTTCTGATTCTTGATGACGCGCTATTCGCAATGTAGTAGGATTGACAGCTCGCACGTTTCTAACAGAACATATTTTTTTTGGTAATTGTGTAGCTCATAAAACCATGGACTGTATGCTGGATTTATTTTATATTCCATGAAACTTGGCAAAGTAAGTGTAACAAACTATTTGCATTTCTCATTATTACCTTGAATAGAAGAAGTTCATCATCCTACAGTTTTGACAGATCACCTGGTTGCTGCTAAACAATGCTGCTGCATCATTGTTTATAATGGTAATCAACAGCATCCCATATTTACACTTCTATTCATCATTTTCTTCCAGTTTATGACTGAGCTTGTCTTTCTCATGCAGGATCATTTCATTATATTGCATAAAATACAATTGATTACATCTTGGTAGTATAATAATATACAACTGTAATAATAGCCTACATTGACCATTGTGCTGAAATGAGTCACATAATGACTCAAATGCACAGTTTGGGCAAAATGTACCTGTGTTTCACAGGAGGTTGTTGGGACCTTAATTGGGGAGAACGGGCTCGTGGTAATGACTGGAGTGGAGTCAGTGGGCTTGGTATCAAATACGTCAAACATATGATTTCCATGTGTTTGATGCCATTCCAAGATGGATTCCAAGATGGCGTAGCAGTGTGGTCGTGAATTGTGTTGTGTCCTCGTGTAAATAGCCTGTTTTTTTGTTTTTTGTCTTTTTTCGTATATATTTCTCTATCTCACTTCCCATCCTTTAACCAAATATACTTTCCTGCAACCCACCTCACCCAATGTGGAACTGATTCTATTATTTCTTTATTTTTATCAAGAACCTACGGCTGAAACAAGCCAGCTAGCCAGCTAACTAGCTACTTGCTATTGGCCACCGTTAGCGGTCTTCACCACTGTCCGTGGTCTGCACTACCTACCAGCCAGCTCTAGCCTGGACAATTATCGGTCTGCACAGTGTGCTATCGACCCAGAGCATATCGGATTTTCTGCCGGAATCACTGAATCACTGGACCTTAACACCGGATCATCGCAACTAGCTAGCTGCAACCGAATGGCTGTTGTTGGCTAATTCACCACTGTCCCGATGCACCAGTTATCCTTGAGCTAGCCTCGAGCCAGGCCCATCTCCCGGCTATCTACCTCTCTGTCAACCGGACGGGACCTCCTAGTGTCGACACGGAGCCCCGCCGATCCATCACGACTGGTCTGCCGACGTAATCGTCTGATGTGGTTTCAACAGGTTTCCCGATGCGACGACCACGAAGATACATCTGCTAGCCCCAGCCTGCTAGCACGCGCAATCAACAGCCGTGCCTCCTGCTCGCCTGTGCTGTAGCAGCCTACAAACTGCTCCCAGACTTAGCTATTGCTGTTCACTGGACCTTATGATCACTCAGCTACACAGCTGATGCTGTTGTGGAAAATAACCACTATACTTTATTACAAATAAGATCTTACAGAGTTTTTGTTGCATCAAGATGACTTTATTAGAGTTTCAACAAAGCCGATACCAGTCTGCAGAATGGCACACCCCCTTACGCTCTCCCTCCATCTTATATAGTCTCCGCTTCAGTTTCCCGCTCTTTTCTTGCTCCGCCCACTCCCTTTGTCTATGGTGATGGCTACATTCGACTTTCATTCAGTTCAGAATCAATAGTAATACACTCAATCAATCCCTTATCTTGCAAAAACACTCATGTTTAGTTTAAACTCTGGCACCGCTCTTTATCACTTTGTGTGAGGAGAGAGACAAAAGGGAGAAATCTGACCCTAGGTCAGATTCCCTCTTTTACCCACACACACAGCGAAATGACCCAATTCAGTAAGCCACAAAGAATGTTAACTATATGTTCATGATTAACTCAATTTTATCTGATAATCCATTAAAAATACACATCAATGCCTGCTGGACTGTTCCTTTACACGGTACCCTATCCTGTTTATCTGTTTAGCCTCAGCCCAAACTTTCGTCGCCATTACCAGTTGTTGTCTTAGCCCTCTCGAATAACACCTGTGATTGCGTTATGCCTCTCTCCCATGTCAATATGCCTAGCCTATTGCTGTTTGGGCTAGTTCTTATTGTACTATTTCACTGTAGAACCTCCAGTCCCGCTCAACCAGCCTCAGAGAGCTCCTTTGTCCCACCCCCCATACACACGGAGACCGGCTCAATCGGTACCTCCAGTGATGCTACCTCTTTCATCGTTACCCAATGCTTAGGTGTACCTCCACTGTACTCATATCCTTCCATATCCTTGTCTGTACATAATGCCCTGAATCTATTCCACAACCCCCGGAAATCTGCCACTTTTATTCTCTGTACCCAACGCACTAGAAGACCAGTTCTTAAAGCCTTTAGCCGTATCCTTATTCTATTCCTCCTCTGTTCCTCTGGTGATGTAGAGGTTAACCCAGGCCCTGTAGCCCCCAGAATCACTCCTACTCCCCAGGCGCTATCATTTGTTGACTTCTGTAACCGTAAAAGCCTTGGATTCTTGCATGTCAATCTCACACAAATTATCAAGGAACCTAAATCCGTAAACATGAGCACCCTCATAGATATCATCCTGACTAATTTACCCTCTAAATACACCTCCGCTGTCTTCAACCAGGATCTCAGCGATCACTGCCTCGTTGCCTGCGTCCGTAATGGGTCCGCGGTCAAACGACCACCCCTCATCACTGTCAAACGCTCCCTAAAACACTTCAGCGAGCAGACCTTTCTAATTGACCTGGCCCGGGTATCCTGGATGGATATTGACCTCATTCCGTCAGTAGAGGATGCCTGGATGTTCTTCAAGTGCTTTCCTCTCCATCTTAAATAAGCATGCCCCATTCAAAAAATTCAGAACTAAGAACAGATATAGCCCTTGGTTCACCCCAGACTTGACAGCCCTTGACCAGCACAAAAACATCCTGTGGCATACTGCATTAGCATCGCACAGCCCCCGCGATATGCAACTTTTCAGGGAAGTTAGGAACCAATATACACAATCAGTTAGGAAAGCAAAGGCTAGCTTTTTCAAACAGAAATGTGCATCCTGTAGCACTAACTCCAAAAAGTTTTGGGACACTGTAAAGTCCATGGAGAATAAGAGCACCTCCTCCCAGCTACCCACTGCACTGAGGCTAGGAAACACTGTAACCACCGATAAATCTACGATAATCGAGAATTTCAATAGGCATTTTGCTACGGCTGGCCATGCTTTCCACCTGGCTACCCCTACCCCGGCCACCAGCTCCGCTGCAACTTGCCCATGCACCCCCCCCCCCCCCCCCCCCCCCCCCCGCTTCTCCTTCTCCCAAATTCAGATAGCTGATGTCCTGAAAGAGCTGCAAAATCTGGACCCCTGCAAATCAGCTGGGCTAGACAATCTGGACCCTTTCTTTCTAAAAATTAGCCGCCGAAATTGTTGCAACCCCTATTACTAGCCTGTTCAACATCTCTTTCGTATCGTCTGAGATCCCCAGAGATTGGAAGGCTGCCGCGGTCATCCCCCTCTTCAAAGGGTGTGACACTCTAGATCCAAACTGTTACAGACCTATATCCATCCTACCCTGCCTTTCAAAAGTATTTGAAAGCCATGTTAACAAACAGATCACCGACCATTTCGAATCCCACCGTACCTTCTCCACTATGCAATCTGGTTTCCGAGCTGGTCATGGGTGCACCTCAGCCATGCTCAAGGTCCTAAATGATATAATAACTGCGATCGATAAAAGACAGTACTGTGCAGCCGTCTTTATCGACCTGGCCAAGGCTTTTGACTCTGTCAATCACCACATTCTTATTGGCAGACTAAATAGCCTTGGTTTCTCAAATGACTGCCTCGCCTGGTTCACCAACTACTTCTCAGATAGAGTTCAATGTGTCAAATCGGAGGGCCTGTTGTCTGGACCTCTGGCAGTCTCTATGGGGGTGCCACAGGGTTCAATTCTCGGGCCGACTCTATTCTCTGTGTATATCAATGATGTCGCTCTTGCTGCTGGTGACTCTCAGATCCACCTCTACGCAGACGACACCATTTTGTATACATCTGGCCCTTCATTGGACACTGTGTTAACAAACCTCCAAACGAGCTTCAATGCCATACAACACTCCTTCCGTGGCCTCCAACTGCTCTTAAACGCTAGTAAAACTAAATGCATGCTCTTCAATCGAACGCTGCTTGCACCCGCCCGCCCGACTAGAATCACTACTCTCGGCGGGTCTGACTTAGAATATGTGGACAACTACAAATACCTAGGTGTCTGGTTAGACCGTAAACTCTCCTCCCAGACTCACATTAAGCATCTCCAATCCAAAGTTAAATCTATAATCAGCTTCCTATTTCGCAACAAAGCCTCCTTCACTCATGCTGCTAAACATGCCCTCGTAAAACTGACTATCCTACCG